CTACTACTACTACTACTACTTACCAGTACTAGTAGTACTAGTACAAACCGCAAATCCAGAGTCAGAAGTGAGCGAGGCCTTGCGGTGGGTCACAAGTGAGGGGTGAACCTTCGGCACGTGTGCACATGCTGCTGTCACACATCGTTTAGCCGTTTAGCCCATCGCTCGAGTTTCCAGAACAGGTGAACAATACGGGAAAGTCTTGGCCCGTTTTGAGCCCGATATGTACAGAGCGTGAGGTCTCACGGCGTGGCATTAACTTAAGATTCACGGGATATCAGCCGGCCGCAGAAGCCTGGATAAGTCACTGGTTAGGTTCTGGCAAGGTCACTCGAGCAACACGTGGCAGCAACGCCCGAAGCGGCCACTCAGCTCATGGTCCAAGGCCTGTCACCATCACAAGCATACAGCCATCACGCCGCGGCGCCTCGAAAACCCACACGGCCTTGAGGGCTCGCGCCAGTGCGAACTCTGCGCGGACAGATCTGGCGTACACTCGACACGCTGTGGATTCGGAACTTTTTCACGAGTTCCCAAGCCTAGAGCCGCTTGTCGTGGGAGCCACAGGAGGAAGTGTGGGTGCAGAGGAGACATCTCGACCCTGCCACAGGTGCGGTCGTGGACAACATCCTTCTTGTAAGAAAAGGTCTGCCTCCTTTGGCTTTGGCCTGGATGAAGCATCTCGTGACTCCTTTCGTGAGCCAGCCATTCCGAGCATCTGAGCGTTACTGTACTAGCACATACTTTCGCAGACTAGTGGGTGTGCAGACATGAGCTTCGTGGACATGCAGGGGTGTGCGACGAGGGAAGTGCTGTCTGTAGCGCCGTGATGATCCACCAGAGTTTTCGTTGATGCGTGAGGACGAAGGATGCAAGAACGAAGACCGCGCGCGAAGATCAGGTTACGGCATAGACCCCCCGCACAGCACGGCTCGGAGTCTGGCACGCATGCACTTTCGACATTAGAACAAAGTTTTCTGCACCGGAGCTCTATCGGTCCAAACCTTGAGATGTCTCGCAGCTTCACGCTCAGCTCGCTCCCTGCCGCTGGAAGACGCAGTGGCAGAGATGCAGATCGGCTTGAATCGTGTCGGGCCGGCGCGCGCTTTCGATTCCTGGCAAGGGCCGGAGCGGAGCCCTGGATAGACGGCACGGGGCGCAGGCCACGGGCCTCTCCAGGCGCTCGATGAGCTCCTGCTCTTCTCGCCTGGCTTCCTCCTGAGGAAAGAACCCCCGGGCTCTCTCTGCCGAAGAGTCCTCTCCGCTCTCTCTCTCTCTCTCTCTCTCTTTCTTTCATTGGGCATGGGGGACTGTTGAGGTCCCCCGGCCTAGTGGCCCCTCATATGTTATGGGGCTTTGAGGGGACGTGAAAATTGTGGAGTTGAAGGTCTTGGGTGGCTGATTTCAGTATGATATCTAGAAGCATGGAACAACTGTACTGGTATGATATCTACTCACTCTCTCTCTCTCTCTCTGTCTCTTTCTCCCGCTCCGCTCCTCGAAGGAAACCCGGTGCTCAGCAGCCTTGCAGCGCTGCTCGGCTGCCTCCTCGTCCAGCTGTGCGAGTTTCTCGTCTTTCTCGCAGAGTCTCCTGAAGCAGAGGCACTCGCAGCGCCGCTGCGCCCTTTTGCCCCCTTGCCGCCGTTGCCTGCTTCGAAGCTCCAGTAGGCACGCCTCTTCACGCCGGAAAGTCTGCATGCGCTCGGCGACCTGGACACGTGGATACCCTGGCCATGCCGCACCGCCCAGGCAAGGACTAGATACCAAGCAGAACAGCCTGTCGAACGTGCCGAAGTTGATCTAACCTGGCCAGCCGAATGGTGCTCGACAGTGCATTGAAGCTGCCCGCCACGTGAGGCAGGCTTCGAAGTTGGAGAGAAGCGAGCCAGGCCATCACGGCAAAGAGCTGCACTGCGCCGGCTCGAGGCGGCAGTGCGCGCATCTCGTGCTCAAGACATGCGGAATCCTCTCCAAAGCTTGCGACGAGCTGCCAAGCGAAATGTCGGCAATGTCCTGCTCCAGGCTCAGCGTTGTTTGCTCAGCCTTCCTGCGAGGAAGGTACATTGCCAACCGTGGTGCTGTGCAAATGCGATCGCGCCTGAATTTGTCTTGCTCTACTTCCTCGCGCGTGGACCTCGCCAGCAGCATGTCAAAATCCTTGTGCGTGCAACTCCGGCAAAGGCTCAGAACCACTCCACTGCTGTTCGACATCCGCTTCTCTTGCCGCAGCGGCCTGGCTGCTACAGACCGAGCAAAAACAAACTGCGCACGGTGTGCCCAACAAGCCTTCTCAGCCTGTCGCACCGCTTCGCTTACAAGACTGCGAACATCAGCCTGCATACGTGCCTGGGCTGTTGGGCAGTGCCAAGCTAACAAGTCGAAAGCTTGAGACGCCCCCCACAGTGCACAGCTGGAAAGGGCAAGCATGCAAGTCGGTAGGTGTGAGAACACACGCTCGGGGCAGAGGGCAATGGGAAACCAACTCCTTTGCCCAGCCACCAATTCCTCAGTCAGGATAAGCACCTGATTGTGCCGGCGGTTTACCTGTGACGGCGGCGCAGCACAAACACGGCACTGGGGTCATCTGCATCCACCTGGCTTGCGGGGTCACCCGCGTCTATCTGCTTCTGGTCATCAGAACCCCACGACGCATCATCTGCATCCATCTGTTGAAGGTCGCCTGAGTCTACCTGTCTGCTCCTATAGTTCATCAACAGAAAAATATGACAAGAACACATCTCGAGGATTCTGCTCACATTACCATCATTACCATCCAAAGGCCGAAAACGACGAATGTCTCGAGGAGCCCACTGGCACCACATCCACCGCAAAAACGACCACAGCCACGAACAGAAGACGAGCACAACGAGATGTGCATGCATCGAGCCCCAGCTCCAACCTCCTTCTTCAAGGATGCCACATCCACTTTGGCCTGCGATCAAGATATTGCCGAGTGGTCATCAAGGCAAAGCCCACGGCCCAGGGCCTCGCGCTGAGCCTTCCGTTCCTGAGGCCATGCCATCACAACGGCCAACAGGAACCGGATCGGGCCTGTCGCTGCTTGTCGGCAGCCAGCTGCAGCTCCAAAGCCTCCCACTCACCAGGGGCTTTCAGCTCGCTGCGCTCCGTTGAAGTTGCTGCCTCTGCTCGAAGTCGGGACACCTCGGCAAAGGCGAAGCTAAGCCAGCTAAGCTTCCACAGCCCTCGCACAAACCGACCTCGTCCTCCACCAAGGAGACTTTGCGTTGGGCCCCCTCCTGCCCACGCATAGATGGGACTGGCAGCAATCACTGGTGAAATCGGGGGCCTGCTTCTGTTGCTCGTCACGTACTTTCCGCCGCAACTCGGCCGTGCGTGTTTGAAGGACCTCCGGCCCAAGACAGATGCTCGTTTCTAGCCCTCCCCCGCCGCCGGCCTCGCAGAAGTCCGGCAGACAGGCCATGGCCACGCCCGCTACGCAGCAACATGCAGCAACCCTGGCCCTGACACCTGGAGCCATGCGACCTGGCAGGCCTGGAGATGTGGACTCCATGGCTGCCATGGCTCTAGCAGTTGCGAGCCACCCGTTTTTCGCATCTCTTGCAGAACTTTGGTCTTTGGTCTTTGTCGGCCTGAGGCCGAAAGTCACGCCGGACACAGAGCCCGAGCTAGGCAGCTAATCGCCCAGTGACCAGGAAGCTTTGTCCTCCAAATGCAGAGGTCAAAATCAAGCACGCTGCGACTGGAAGCTCCTTCTTGCGGAGCTTCTTCTTGCCGCCGCTTTTTTGTCCCACTCCTGCCTGCATGCAAAGGTTATTACGTGGCATTCGGCTATTCCTTGCACTGTGCTGCGCAACAACCGCACGCAACGGCCGACCTCTGCCATCTTCATGTTCACGTAGTACCTGACAGAGTTTGCAAGCCGTTGTTGAACTCACCACACCTGGCTTTCCACATCATGCCGCTCTGAGAAAAGGACACGTATCCTGCAACCGCACCCACAAACACGATCACAAAGAAGAGGATCGTGAACGTAGTGCCATCCATCATACCTGCCGAGATGCCGCTCTCCGATTCGTGCGTTGAATGCTGGTTCTACTTTGTAGACGGCCTTCATCAAGAGAGGCCGCAGGCTGCCTCCTGCCCGCTAACTTGCCTGTACATCTGGAGCCTCCAGCCACAGAGGGCCGTAGAAGTGCGACCTACACATGCCACATCCAAGACAGGCATCTCAGCTTGTCAAGTTTTCGCAGTGCGCACCGAGCGGCTGCGTATGACGACGGGACTGTATGTACAAGGCCAGAGACAGATCACTTGTTCGTACTCTGGCGCGTGCATTAACGCCTGTACTGTACTTGGACACATTTGCCAAGCTCAGTGAGGATTCCACGCATCACTGTTTGGAGATTGGTCTGGTCTCGGCCTCTGATTGAATCCAAAGCCCGGGATAGTGCGACAGGTGTGAACGATGAGCTGTGCACATACTCTGCGAGGCGTCTTTCATAGAACTGCCGCAGGACCTGCTGTCCACACACAGCATTCTACGAAACACGAGGGCCTGTGCCAGACAGTGGTATTGGACGTTGGCCCAGCCTCCATGTAGGGTCGGAAATTGTAGTAGGTTCCGAGATACCTTCCAAGAGAAAAGCAAGCACAGTTAGCCGCTGTTTCCACAGAGCGAAAAGTTCATGAGATTCTCGAACCACCATGTTTCTGCTCGTAAAGCTGTAGCGGTAACCAATGCACCATGTGGGGGGCACGTTCCAAGCAACGTGCCACACAGAAACTGCCACATGTCATACACACCCACCCACCCTTACGCTTGAGCATAAAGCTCGGACGGCGCAGACAAAGCAAAACGGAGCTGCGCAAGAGCCACAAATCTTTGGGGCATGTGGAGAGCACGGACTCTTTTGATGGCCGTCTGCGAAATGCATCTGCCACCTTTGCACAGCTTTCGGGGATGACAAAGACCAAAAAGCAGCCAAGACAACACACAGGACACCCTCGATGAGGTGGGCAGGATCTTCGGATTTCTTTTTTCTTGGTTTATGACCTCAAGCGTCCCGGGTATGCGAAAGGCGTCCTGGGAGACGCGTCACCTTGGTGAATACCGTAGTTTTCATATGTATCGAATCTGGTCGTCCTAATTAGTTGCAGTTGCAAGGCGTCTAGTTGCGGAATAGGTTTGCATTTGGAACACTGGTTGGCTGCTTGTTCGAGCATCTAATCACATATGGGGAATGGCTGGCTATGATGTGCTGTCCCTGTGCTGCAGATGTGTGTCCTGAGCGGAGTGTCTACATGGGGAACGGCTTGTCCCTATCTTGGAGCATGTTTCAATACGTTCATGGCCACAGCCGTGATCAAAAATAGCAGGGTGCAGCACATTAACGGTCACCACGAGGGTAGGCTGCCTTCTGCGGGGGTTGGATGCCCCATAAAGGCCACCCACCATTACTTTGAGACGAAAACGTCTGCAGTCCAGTGTATGTAGCATGGGCTTTCAAGATGAGGCGATGCAATAATCTAAATCCTTCCCGAGCTTGGCCTGATCAAGTTGCGGATGTCGCAAATGGCAGTGACCGTGGGTTACGTCGCCTCCGCCGCCTATGCCACCCATTCAATTGCAAAGGCTGCGTTGGAACAACTACTGCGGCGCCGCAGCGCCGACGTGGCCGACGTCTCCATGTGCTTGCGCATTTACCCACATTATGTTCCATAATTTGCTTGTGGATGACCTCTTCCAAGACAGGGTCCTTCAGCCAGTTCGCTCCTCGTCTTCAAGGACTGTACGAACCACTCTGCTGTCACCCCATGAATTGGAGCTGCGCATAGGCAGCAGCCTTTGCAGTTCTCGTAGCCTACCGTTTGGCCGCAGTCTGTGGCCGGGTCCACGGCCGTTTGACCTTGCTTGTCCATCATGTCGACGTCCGTAAGTGTTGCCAGGGCATCTGCAAACTAAATACAGAGCAATGGCAGAATAAGGTCTAGAATAGCACACAGCATGCTTAGACCAAGATTTGGAGACAACTGATTGTTTCAACTGCAACATCTTGCAGTACGAAAGCCATCCGGAGACGAAGGCGTAGACCAAGCAGGCACTGACACTTTTGCTCACTGTCTGCACAAACGGTAAAGCTGACAACAGGCGCGCTCACTTCACCTCTAAGAACTTCTTTGTAATCCCATACCTGCGCTCCGGCGGATGTCGCCGATTGCTGGCGTCAGGAGAATGACAGCGTCTCCAGCCTCTGTTCCAAAAACTGCGCGAATTCCTGGTCGACCTGAGCGCTCACAAGGCTGCCTTCACTCGGCACGCTGAACTCTGCAGCGAGGGAACGTGACCCTGCAGTTGCAGCATCTTCTCTTTCACCTGCGATCGCTCCGGAACTGACAGTGCTCCCGGCCGCAGCCTAGGCTGAGGTAACGGCGTTCTTGCCAGGCATGTCTTCGATGTAAACTGTACAATTCAGCTTCTTCTTCAGCTCGTCCCCCAAGGCCCTCGGAAGAAGTGCTTTGCGCAGTGCACTCTAGCCTCCTCTGGTTGAAGTTTCGGGCTCTGGAGCAAGGCCGTAAGCTTCGAGATTGCAAATCCTCGTGACATTGTGGGCCCCTTTCCGAGACCTTGGCTTCATCGAAGCACCCAATAAGGCATTCCTCTGCGTGTCCTGTAAGGCTCCCGCAGAGAGATGGCGATGTTCACCGGTGCACCCTTGCGGGTCGTCACGCCGACACCAGCCACGTCGATGGCAGCATGCCTCGGTAGGCTCCGATCCTCTTGTTCCTCATTGATGGTTTCTGGGCGGCTTCGCATGGCTTCCCGTGCGCCGTCGCATTCCGAGCTCCGAGCTGCTGCAGCCGGTCTTCGAGCTTCTCCTCGACCTGCTCCGCATCGACCTGTAGTGGAGAAGTAGCGGCTTTGACAGGGAGGCAATCACTCCAAAAAAGCAGCGATCCTCTGTGGGCCATTCTTGGTCCTTCTTCTGCCCACCGGCCTCCACAGAGAGAATCCCGACATCGCGGGTCTCCGAGCATCTCCCGAGGTCTCAGGCCGTCTTCCAGAGCGCCGTCAGGAGGCCATCGCTCATCTTGATCGGCCTCGTAGCAGATCCATCTTCACGGGCATCATCTCTCTCTCTCTCTCTCTCCGGCTGGGTTTTCAACCCATCGGGCTTGCCAAGACCCTCCTGTCATGTACCAATTTCGCCACAAGGTAGCAACCCGACATGCTGATGCTGGCAGGTCCTGCTCTATGTAGCTGAACACTATGGCTCTTGCCTGGAAATCTTGACAACGAAGCTGTGATCCCATAGTCTAGTCATTGATTCGCCTCATCCCAAGTGTACAGCTCGTCTTTTTTCTTGCCCATGGCCTGCGAATGCATAATCTGGCTGGATTCGGCAAGACCATGCGCGAAACCTTCCAGATCGGCTCTAGGTAATGCGAGGGCTTCCACCTGCGCCGAACAGCCTTAAAATAAGGCTGGGCAGAGCGGCATAGGGCTCTCACATCGCCGTCACTTTGGGCGGCGGCAAACCTGCGATTATGGGTAAGTGGATCCGGGTCCGAGAGTCCAAGGTTCGTGGCCTGCCGGAGTCACAGCCGCAGCCACGGCGGCCACGGGGGTAGCAGCCACCTGTTCTGCCTGGGACTACGACATGCAAAGAATACAAAGGCAGGTGAAGTTGACTGCGCTGCCAAGCTGGGAGCTCCCACGAATTTTTCTTCGAGACTAACAAACACCTTGTGCTTGCGGTCCTGTGCCGGGAGACGGGCACGATCTGTTGTTATGCAGCGAAGGGAACAAGCTGCTGGACTCGGCTTCCCACAACTTTTGATACATGGATGACACCCTTCTTCTCGGTGACGTCGATAGCTTTGGATTTACGCATGGCATTCAAGAATTTGCCGATCTGCTTGTGAGACCTCGGCAAGGAAGTCATACTCCCTTGAGCTACAAGTACTGCAAGTAGACTCAGACTTTGAGGCTTCGGCGACTTTTTAACATCCAAGGTGGTTCCCTCAGGCCTTCCAGCGAGGACAAACACAGAGGCGTGGTGAACGGAGCACGAAGAGCTACAGGCCTCGCTGGCTTCATGTGCTTCTCGTAGAGCTCAGAAGCTTCTATCGGCAGGGCCTGGATTTGAAGTCGTGTCAGCTTAAGGCGCGGCCCGGTACAGAAAGCCAGCCTTGTCATCTGCGAGCCCTTGTTTGAAGGCTTGCAGAAAGGTGAAGTCCAAGAGGTCATCTTGCCTCAGGGCTCCGCAACATGAGAAACTGAAATCAAGCAGGACAGCAACGAACGAAACACAGATGAGAGCTGTGCGTCCAGTCATCGGCCTGGGAAGTTTACTGCTTCTGGCACCTCTCGTTCCGTCCGTTTCTGGGAGTCCTGCAGCTTTGCCGCCTGCCCAACGAGAAGGTCTGTTGGACTCCACCCTCACCCAACTCTCCCCACCTCCTGGTGCTGCCGTCGCTGAGGACGCTGCGGCCGGAGCCTCCGACGCAGGCTCCGCCGTGCCATTGGCCTCTGCGCTCCTCGGAGTCGACTTAGTTTTGCTTGAGTTGCAACATGTTGCAACATCGCACCCTGCGCAAATTCGTTGGACGTCAACCGGTCGCAGTGCAGACTCTTCGAACCGCTGCTGCCGGACACAGGACAGGGTCGCGCAGTCAACACTGCAGCTGGCACTGCACAAAAAACGGTGTTCCCGATTATGAAATTGGAGCGGACAAAACTGCATATGTCTTGACGTGAGATGGCTGGTGCTGTGCCCGGAACTTCGGAGTAAGAGGTTGGACTGGGCCAGGGTTCCCTGAGGATGGTTTGGTTGAATTGCTGCTATCCGGTGGAAACGCAGAAATCGCCGGCGAGACTGCCGGGCACTGCATTCACACAAAAACTTACCTGACTATGCTGGCTCATAAAGAGTTCCTGGGAGAAATGCGCTTCAAGCAGGCATTTGTATGCTTGCAACTCGGCCTTGAACTCATAGCCTGCCCCTTACCATAGCCTAGCCTATCCCACCTACCCTACTTACCCTACCTACCCGAACTACCCTAACTACCCTATCTACCCTACCGACCAACCTTGCCCTATCCACCCTACCCCGCCATACCCACCTGCCACACTGCCTGCCAGCCTGCCTGCCTGCTACCTCCCTGCCGACCTCTGCACCTACCTCAGGCATGAACACATACATGCATACATACGTCCGTAAACACACACACACACATGCACGAACACGTAGCTACATGCATGCATGCATGCATGCATGCATGCATGCATGCACGCATACATACATACACACAGAAAACATGCAAACGGTAGTTGGTATATTCGAGGTGTCGCCTTCAAGTTGCCGTGTGTGTGTGTGTGTGTGTGTGTGTGTGTGTGTGTGTGTGTGTGTGTTTGTTTTCGTTCACAGCCTGCTACGTTTACTGTATACTCGTACTGTACGTACTCTGCGCAAAGTGCACAGTATGCACAGTGGCTCTTGAGTCGGGAGCTTCATTCGGGAGGTTTGCATCTGCAACAGTAAGTATGCTCTTAGTGTGAGCTTTATGTACGCCTATATTTTCCTTTCATTCCTGAACCTGTTACCTGCCTCAGGCGCTACTTGTTCGGTGTGAAGCAGCATCATACCTGCAATGGCACCAGTTATCACTTTACCAAGAAGAGAATCTCGCTCCGTCCCTGTTTTCTACAGCAAAGAGGCAAAGAGAATTCCCCGTCATCACTGCATCAAAACAACGGTTTCCCCAGTCTTTCCTACAAGCTATGCCAATGGAAATCGAGTGCCGAGGGAATCAGGACTCTAGTAACTCTAGTGACAGGAAATACGACTGTGCCTATGTATATGTAACACTCAAGCCCGGAAACAAACAACTGTCAAGACCACAAAGTAGAGAAGCAGACAAGGCCGTAGAAGCAGTCTCAATTTCGGACGTGCAAGGCAGGAGCGAAGGCTCAAAAAGCATATCCTTGGACTGGCAGCGCAAGAGCGCATGACGTGGAGACACGGAAAACACAGCAAGCACACGAGTGGAGAAGCGCAATGTAGCCAACATAAAATGAAGAGGAGCTCGGACAAGGACAGCAGGGTCAGAGCAGAAAAGAGCCAAGAATGAAAGCATGCAAGCGCAAACGCAGAAACAACAAAATTCAAACGAATGATATAAAAGGCAAGAGTTGGCGGATTGCAAATGGGTCATGTAGTGCGGAGTGCTACGGTCTTAAACATCGTGGACACAAGGCCCACTCTGGATGTGCGGATGAAACTGGTCGTGGGCACTGGACCGCACGCTGCCGCATGCGGAATGTACTCGGACGGTTGCCGAAACAAGAAACAAAGTCACGCAGCCACTGGTGGCCCCGTGGATTTTGCACGCCAAATCGTGCAGTTCTCCCGCGAATACCAGCATTATTCGTGGTAAATGAATTCTACAAATGCGACTTTTTTCCTGCTTTGTAGGCACGAGCAAACTGAGGTAGCAGCAACAGTGACACGCTTGCCAGTGTTTTCATGGGTTGGGAGGTGTATGGGTTGGACGATGCTTGTTGCAATTCGTGCATCTCTTGAAAAGTTGTCTTTGGGGTTTATGCAAGAGAAATAGCAGTAGTAGAAGCAGAAGTATAGTCGTAGTACTAGTAGTAGTAGT